ATAAATAAGGTTAAATAAAATAATTCTTTAAGAAAAAAGAGCTTATTGCTAGGAAGGTCTTATAGATCTTAGAGAAATAACATCTTATTTTTTTTCTTTTAAAAGTTGAGAACCCTTTACTGAAGCTAGAAAATTTACTCCAAATCCCACTCCTATTTCACCATAGACACAGGGTGAGAACCCTGATCTCTAGATTTTCTATCATTTTCTCAGGTAAATAATTCTTCCATTTTTGTAAGTTCTGCTTTTAAATTCTTCTTCAACTTAAAGTGAGTCAACTTATTTAAATCTTGCAGTTTTTCTTTACATGCCTTAATGCTTCAAAACTTTCCATGCCTTATCTCTGTTGTGAAGACTTAAGATCTCTGTGGCAATCTGCTTATCACCCTGAAATCCCCAGTGTGACACTGTCCACGCTGCATGTGTGAAATGGAGAGGCCAGGAGAAGCTCTGGCATTAAACTTCTGGGTCATGTTTTCATCACAAATGCCATTGAAATGGCATCATATACGTTCACGTACAACCAAACACTGGAGAATAATTAAACCAGATATGCTTAGAGGTTTTCGTATGTATATTCACTGTCCAATATCAAGAGTACTAGAAATGGTTAATTTATTATGGAAATGTAAAGTGGGAGAAATGGAGTTGTAAATAATTACTGACAATTAGAAAATGAATAAAAGTAATACCTATGTATAGTAGTTGCCAGTTCACACATTATTTTCCAAATCCTATGCCACCTGTTCTCTATATCCTCAAGGTAGGCCATGTGATGTTCATCAGCGGAGTTCAGCAGTCACACAAAGTCACAGAGCTCTGAGGGAAGAACCTGGTGCCTAGCCGTGAGCTGGCTCTAGCACCATACTATATCTAACGCGGTACTACCATGTCACTCCAAAACTTGGGGAGCACTTAGTTATCTTGACTTGAAAAGGAATGAAAGAAGCTGATGTCTGTGTAGGGCTTTGAGGCTTTAAGAAATGATTTCCTGTAGCACTTTCAACATAAAACTGTGTAGACAGAGTGCAAAGAGGAAACTACAACTGGAAAAAAATCTTAAGAGGTCAACTGGTTTGAGAGGGCAGCCAAAGAAAGCCATCTCAATTTTAGTTTGTTTTTGATATATGGATCTGAACACAATCTGAAAAGACTAACCTAATATCTTTCTGACCCAGGGTTGACCCAAGTCCAATCCAAACTTGGAAAAGAAGGAAAGCTGAAGTAGAGAATTTGAGGCGATCAATCTTGTAGCATATCTTAGATGGAAAACTCCAGAAAACAGCCCAAGAGAGTGATTAATGACTGTAAGTGGTAGAAAACAAACACATATGAATACTTTAGATGCACACTAAAAGAGGAGAGAGAGAGAGAGAGAAAGAATTTAAATATAATCCTCTACATTGGCAGAAATTCTCTATGTGAACTGCTCATGTATACACACACTCATACAAATTAATTTCTTTTCCCCTTTCATTCAATATGTGCTAAAATTTACCTGGGGAACCAGTGTGGAAAAGGAGATAGAATATTGAGTAGTGATCAATCTTTGCTCATAAGGCATCTAAAAGTAAAATTACATTAGTTAAGTTTTTCCAGAGAAACAGACCAAGAGGCTTATTGTAGGAATTGGCAGGATGTTGACTGATTTGTAGATTTGCAGGGTGAGTTGCCAACTGAAGACCCAGGAGAGTCCAAAGTCTGAGAACCAGGATCAATGATGAAGTTCCAGTCCATAGACTCACAAGCTCAAGACTCAGAAAAAGATGATCTTTTACTTCAATTCAAAAAGCAGGAGAAAAGCTGATATCTCATTTTGAAAGTCATGATGCAGGGAAGGGCCAGCCTTTTTGTTCTGTTCAGATCTTCAACTGATTTAAGGAGACCCAAGAACATCAGGGAGGGAAGTCTGATGATTTCGGTTTGCCAATTTAAATGGAGTTAGCAGGGAGCATGGTGGTTAAGATACTGGACTCGCACAGGACAAACCACAGTTCAAGTCCCAGACCTGACAGCTTGAAATTATAACAGGCATGTGTGTGTGTTTGTGTGTGTGTGTGCATGCCCAATATCCCAGGAGAAGGGATTAATGATGAATCCCCCCGGAGGGGCGGGGGTGATTTCTCACTTTCCCTCTCACTGTATCTGTGTCTCTCTGATAAGTGCATCTGCCTTATGGCACACCCACCCACCCACCCACCCACACACACACACACACACACACACAAAG